GATGGATGGCACCTAAACTTTTAGTAGTGATCACTCTGTAGTGCACAAAGATGTCAAATCATAATGTTGTACACTTGAAACATATATTATACCTTTAAAAAAATCTGGCTAGGATGGACCCCATTTTATTTTTTATCTCTTTTAGAACTGGGTCATTAAAACATTTATGAGTTTAAAAAAAATAAACTTATCTCTTATAGACTTAGAACACAATGCCTTCTTTAAGAAAAGTTGAATAAGCTTACTTTGGATGTTTTACACATTAGCCAACACAATTTTCAAAATGTTAATTTTCACACAAACCATCATATTATGACTTATATTTTCATCTGAACAATGTTTTGCATAATTTGCATCAATTTTTAAACAAAAGAGCTGTAATGTTCTCAAAGAAAGTGAAATATTGAATCTTTCAGCCTTGGAAAATTCTTATCCTTCAAAGAGAAATTGCTAGTACCTTAGTGAACAATGACTTCTTGCACAGAAATGTTGAGCATAGTATTTGCTTTGAGTTTTTTCTTTTAACCTGCATTCTTGCTGGCACACAATGTATTTTTAGAAGCTACTCACCATCCTCAAAGAAAAAAACTTGTATTTCTGATATTTTTTCCTTAGGAGATACTTCTACAAAACTACCTGCCATCTCTGAGGTTAAAACTAGTATCAAAATGGGGCTTAGAAGCCATAGATTTCATCATTTCATAAGGAAAACTTTCCAGCAAAGTAAACTAAATCATGGAATAGGCTGCTTGTGAAGTCATTATTCAGAGGCTGAATGACCACAAGTTAGGGAATTACAGAACAGATTCATGCTCTAGATGAGATGCTAGAAGTATTTTATGATTCTTGTACATGGGCCAGGTTATCAGAATCCCCCAGAGAACTTGTGAAAAACTCATTCCTGAGCCCCACTGCAGAATTCCAATGTTAGGGACTTGGAATCTATACTTTTGATAAATCCTCTTTGTGATTTTCATGTGCAGTTAGGTTTGGGATTCAATGGATTAGATAATTTTTAATATCCCTGCCAAGACCAAGAATCTATATACTAAATTCTGAAGACATCGGGGAGAGGGGGATTTTTCCATTAAAGGAGAACTTCAAAGGGCAGAAAGTCTATGGTGAATGGACAACATATAGGATATTATCTTTAGTTTTCCAGATTCCAGAAACCTCAAAGAATACCAAAACATTAAAAAAAAGAATACCAAAACATGCCAATCAAACTAATGATAGCCATATGTTAGTTTATCCACTTACCTTAGATAAATTGTATATTTGTAAAATATCCATATGGATTTTAGGATCAGCTTATAAATTTCTACAAAGAAGCTATCTGGGATTTTAGTAGGGATTGCATTGAACATGTTGATCAATTTGGAACATACTGCAATTTTAATAATATTAAATCTTCTGATCCACAAACATAGCATACCTTCCAATTATCTAGATCTTCTTTCTTGGTATTTAAATTCAATTAGCCAACATACAGTACATCATTAGTATCAGAGGTAGTGTTCAATAATTCATCAGTTGTGTATTACACATAGTGCTCATTAAATTTCTTTCAAAATTTTGTTGCCTTTAAGAGTACGAGTTTTGGGGATCCCTGGGTGGTGCAGCGGTTTGGCGCCTGCCTTTGGCCCAGGGCGCGATCCTGGAGACCCGGGATGGAATCCCACATCGGGCTCCCGGTGCATGAAGCCTGCTTCTCCCTCTGCCTGTGTCTCTGCCTCTCTCTCTCTCTCTCTGTGACTATCATAAATAAATAAAAAAATTAAAAAAAAAGAGTACGAGTTTTGCACTTCTTTTAAAAATTTACTCCCAAATATTTTATCTGTGAAGCTATTAAAAATGCAATTTTTCTTACTTTCATTTTCAAATTTTCTCTTGCAATTTATTTGTTGAAACCCTGCTGTTTTCTGTAGAGTTCTCCCCAACATCCCCACTCTAAACCCAAGTCTAGATATTCTTTTCTTACATCCTTATGATGTTATTTAACATCATTGTCCTCATATTTTCCTAAAAATTCACAGTTCCATCTAGAGGCTTGATAAGATGCGGATTCTATTTTTCAGCAAAAAGACTTCATAGGTACTGCTTTGTTTTTCCATTAGCAGTCATGTGATATTTTGTTATTACTCTTTGTAATGTTAGTAGTGATGGTGATCACTGCCTAGATCCATTAATCCATTAACCATTGTAAAATTCTATCATTATTTCTTAATTTATCAGCCAGAAATCTTCTACTAAAACATTTTGCTCACAAACTATTAGGTTACACAGAGGAAGAATGTGTCTATAAAAAGGCAAGTTAAGTGTTTGGTTCATTATTTTATTTACCAGTTTCAAAATAATGAGCTAGTTTCCTAGTTTTCTCCAAGTTTACCAATTACATTTCTAAGTATCATTAACTCAGATATTTAAATATATTTGATACATTTCAATCCATTGTAATTATTTTATTTGCAGATGTTAAAATTGCTTCATATATGGACAGTAAAGTCTCTTTAATTTGGCTCCCAAATTCTTCCTGACACAACCCTAGTAGTTTTCCTTTATAGGGAAAAACCCAATTGCAAGCCTAAGCTATTACCACTGCTTCTGACCAATTAGCTATAAATCAGAGCTTCCCATGACCCCCCCATTTAGATTCCATTAATTGCTAAAGTAGCTCACAGAACTCAGGGAAATGCTTATTTACAGTTACCAGTTTACTAATAAAGACTTAGATGAATAGGCAGATGAAGAGATACATACAGCAATTTCTGGGAGTGTCCCAAGTGGAGGAGCTTTTGTCTCTGTAGAGTTGGGGTACAACATTCTCCCAGTATCTAGATGTGTTTAACAACCTGGAAGCTCTCTAAACCCCATACTTTTGAGATTTTTATGGAGGCTTCCTCACCTCACATAAACAGAATCAGTTATCAATTCCATTTCCAGTCCCTCTCCCCTCTCCAAAGAAATAGGGGACAGGGTTGAAAATTTCAATTTTCTAATTATGGCTGGATCTTTCTGGTGAACAGCCCCCATTGAGAAGCCCTCCAAGAACTCACCCAGGGTCACCTAATTAGAACAAAAGATGCTTCTATCACCAAGTAAATTCCAAAGGATTTAGGAGACTTGTGTCATGAACTGGAGTCAAAGACTAAGTATTATGAAGAAGTTAAGATGGTGGAGGAATAGAGGGACCCTGTTTGTCTGGTCCGTGGAACATCACTAGATACTTACCAAATCATTCTGAATACCTGAGAAATCAGAGATCTGAGAAAACAAATTCTACAAGTCTACCAGTAGAAAAGTGACCACTGTTTGGAAGGTAGGAGATGCAGTGACTTAAATCTGGTGTGATATAGCTAATGACATGGTGCTTAAGGAGGCTACCACAAAGCGTTATAAGCAGTGGAGTGCAAAATCAGAACTTTTAGAAGTCTGCTGTAGTGGAGAATGTGCCTGGCTTAAAGATGTTCAGATGGTGAAGCAGAGTGGAATCCCAGGAGTGACAGCATGGCTGGAGGATTTCCGGAGTTGCAAGAAGAATGGGTGGGCCTGAGTGTGGCAGAGTTCCCAGGCATATAAGTGGAGAAGCTGGCTGAGAACAGCAAATCTAGGTGCTGGCTTTCTGCTCTATGTTGCCATAAACTGTGAACCACTCCATGGGTGTGCAAATGCTTTCCTGGGAGGGGTCCAGATAAAGGCAGAAGCACAGTGAGACACCCTTCTTCCCCAGAGAGGAACAGCTTGGATCCACGCCATGGAAGTCCATAATATTTGGAGTTTTGAAACTCAGTCCACTGCCAGAGATAAATACTTTTGGTCACAAATAAGGTGAACACAAAGTTCTTATGGAAACTGGGGAGAAAATAGAGATTGACTGTTTTTCTGTGAGGGCTCACTGAAGGGGGGGCACAAATTTTCGGCTCTGGGGCTAGAGACCAGGGCATCACCATATTCATTGCATCATGAATCCTGAAATCCTTCAGGGAGCAAAACATTGCCATCTAGTGGAGTCAGGCAGGAGCCACTTACAACAAGCCCAGTCTGTTCATTGGAGGTGTTTTTCCACTAGGGCAAGCTCACCTGAGAATCAATGCAAAAGGCCCCACCCCCAGAAGACCAGCAAAACAACTTCTCATCAAGCTTACTGATCATAGGTGGCTGCAAAGTTTCAGCTCTTGAGGAAAACAGTATATAGCATTCGTTATATTTTTATTCTTTAGGCTTTTCATATTATTTTTCAGTTATTTTCTTATTTTCTCAATTCTTTTTAAATTCTTTTTTAATTTTATTTTTTAAAGATTGTATTTATTTATTCATGAGAGACACAGAGAGAGGCAGAGATATAAGCAGAGAGTGAAGCAGGCTCCCTGCAGGGAGCCTGATGCTCAACTCAATCCCAGGACTCCAGGACCACAACCAGAGCCAGGGCACTCAACCACTGAGCCACAGAGGTGCCCCTTAATTTTTATTTTTACATATACTTTATATATCTTTAAATTTTTGTTTCCATTCATTGTATTTTATTTTATAAATATATACCTATATACCTTTATATACCTATTTATATATTATATGTTATTTATGTTATATATTTATATATTTGTGTATATATACAAATAAACATATATGCTTATTTATGTATCTCACTAGGCAAATAAAAAATATTTAGTGCAGCCTTCCCCTGTTTACTCATTGTTGTTCTTTAATTCTTACACTCTGTTCATTTATAATCAGGATGTGTTTTTTTTAAGATGCTTACAAAATTTTTCTAATAGTATGCAAATTTGTGCAGGATAAGTGATGTAATTTACATGGAGTTTTCCCCACATTTACTGACTAGGGTTTCCCTCTTGTCAGAGTTTCTATGTCATTTTTTTTAAAAAGGATAAAGGACCACAGAAGTCTTTCCCACACTGCTTACATTTAGAGTTTCTCCCCACTGTGAAATCTCACATGTCTTTGTAGGGATGTGAGTCTACTGAAGTCTTTACCACATTCCTTCACTCATAGGATTTCTCTCTACTGTGAGTTCTCAAATGTCTTCGAAATGATGATGACCAACTGAAAGCTTTCCCACATTGCTTACATATATAGGGTTTCTCTCCAGTGTGAATTCTCACATGTGTTCTAAAGTACAAGAGACTGCTGAAGGCTTTTCCACGTTCATCACATGCATAGGGTTTTTCTCCTGTATGAGTTCGCAAATGTCCCTTAAAGGATGAAGGGGAACTGAAGGATTTCCCACATTGTTTACATACATAAGGCTTTTCTCCAAAGTGTGTTCTCATGTGAATCCTAAGGTCAGAGGGCCAACTGTAGGCCTTCCCACATTCCACACATTTATAGGCTTTCTCTCCAGTGTGCATTCTTGCATCTATGATCAGGTAAAAAGAATGAAGAAAGGCTTTCCCACATTCCTTACATTCATAGGCTTTCTCTGCACTGTGAACCCTCCCATGTTTTCTAAGAGACGAGGGAGAAGAGAAGAATTTCTTACATTCTCTACAGGCATAGAGTTTCTCAACAGTATGAGTTTCCCTATGTGTCCAGAGGTTTGAGGGAGATCTGAAGGTTTTCCCACACTTTTCACATTCATAAGGCTTATCTCCAGTGTGGGTTCTTATATGAACCCTAAGTTTGGAGAAGTATATAAAGGCTTTTACACATTCCTTACATGTGTAGGGTTCCTCTTCAATGTGAGCTCTAATGTGTTCCCTAAATGATGAGTAACAAATAAAAGTTCTCCCACATTCCTTACATTGATGGGATTTCTTTCCATGTTGAAATGATGTTATGGAACTCTTTAGGGATGTAGTATCCATGATGGCCTTTTCAAACTTAGTGTATTCATAGGATTTTACTCGAGTAGAAAGTCTCTTATGCAAAATAAAATTTGAAATCTGGTTGGTTTCTCCACATTGATTAGTTCCATTATTTTCTGAGGGTATCTCCACCGCATGACACCTCATACATGTCCCCTGGTTCTTGTGCTGATCTTCAATGCCATGGCATTTCCAGTTTTCACCCACTGAGGTCAGGTTCCTGCAGGTCTCTAGCATCACATCTCTGTAGAGCCTCCTCTGAGCACAATACAGCAAAGCCCACTCCTCTGGGGTGAAGTCCACAACCACAACCTCGAAAAATATCACTCCGCCTCAATGTCATCTACAGATTCGACGTGATCCCAACTCATTGTCCTGGAGTCTGTCCGGCAGTGCTGACCCTAACCCTCACTTTCTACATTTGAGAAATTCAGTCCCCCAGGCACCAGAATACATCCGTTTCATCACCGAATGTCTCTTGGGTACCTACTCTGCCACACCTTCTCTCTGTGTCTGTAACACCGGCCGTGACAGGACACCGGGCCCCCACCCCAACTGGGGGCAGAGACTCGGGTTGGTACCTCCGAGAGCGGGGGACACACGGACTGTGGTCGCCTGCAGCCAGTTCAAGTCAGCCCCTCCAGATCTCGGCCCGGGCTGCACGTACTCACCATCTCCAGGCTGCTCTGGGCTCCGGGGGGCCCTCCCCGTACTTCCAGCAGGTGAGAACAGTGCACCTATAATGAGGATATTTGTAAAGGTGTTGTTAACTTTGAGAGCCTTAGAAATTGTCGCCATTTGTTCTTTTTCTAATCTTCTTCTTTTCAGAAGAAACAATACTATACTGTCTACTGTCTACAAAGTGCTCCTTTTTTTCTTTCACTATCATAATCATAATATATTATGATATATAATATATATCAAATAATATAATAGATTATATATCAAATCATAATACATTTATATATTATGTTATTTATTTGTATTATATAATATACTTACATATTATATAAGAAAAAGGATTTCTTTCATATATTAGTTTCTTTTAATAAGCAGACCAAAACACATCCAGGATCTAGTGGGGCTTTTTGTTCTTGTTTTTCTGTTGTTGTTGTTTTTGTTGTTTTCTCTTCCTTTTTTCTTTTCTGGACAAAATGATGAGAGAGAGAAATTTATCCCAAAAGAAAGAACAGGAGGTAGTACTGCCAGGGATTTAATCAATGCAGATATAAGTAAGATATCTGAACTAAAATTTAAAACAATGATTATAAAGATACTAGCTGGGTGTGAAAAATGTATAGAAGACACTAGCAAACCTCTTACTATAGAGATAAAAGAACTAAAGTGTAATCAGGCCAAAATTAAAAATGCTATTTCTGAGATGCAGTCCCAAGTGAGGACCATAAAAATGAGGATAAATGAAGCAGAAGAGAAAATCAGTGCTACAGAAGATAACATGATGGAGAATAAGGAAGCTAAAAAGAAGAGGGAAGGAAACATTTTAGATCACAGAGGTAGACTGAAGGAACTCTGATGCCATAAAATGAAATACTATCCATATTATAGGAGTCCCAGATGAGTGAGAGGAAGGGGCAGAAGGTTTATCTGGGGAAATTATAGCTGAGAACTTCCCTAATCTGAGGAATGAAACAGACATTCAAGTCCAGGAGGCACAGAGAACCCCCTGCAAAACCAACAAAAATAGATCAACAGTCAACATATTATAGTGAAGCTTGAAAATTACAAAGATAAAGAAAAAATCCTGAAAGCAGCTTGGGATAAGAGGTCCTTAACCTTCAAGTGTAGACACATAAGGCTTGCGGCCTTAATGTCCATCACCCAGTTACCTCATTCCCCTACTCCTCTCGCCTCTGCCAACCCTCAGTGTGTGTCCTATGATTAATAATCCCTTATGGTTTGTCTCTCTCTCTGGTTTCATCTTGGTTTAATTTTTCCTCTCTTCCCCTATGATCCTCTATTTTGTTTCTTAAATTTCACATATGAGTGAGATCATATGATAATTGACTAGATTTTAAGCCAAATACTTTAATAAGAGAGGATGAAGGACACTGTATCATAATAAAGTGTCCTGAAAAATAAGATCTATGAATTGTAAATATTTATACCCCCTAACTTGAAAGCAGCCAAATACGTAAACCAATTATTTTTTTCATAAACCAATTAATAAAAAAATTAAAGAAATTCATTGATAATAATAGAATAACAGTAAAGGACTTTAACGCCCCACTCAGAGCAATGGACAGATAATCTAAGCACAAGATCAACAGGGAAACAGGGCTTTGAATGACACACTGGACCAAATGGACTTCACAGATCTATTCGGAGCGTTTCATCCTAAAGTAGCAGAATACACATTCTTCTCCAGTGCATATGGAATATTCTCCAGAATATATCACATACTGGATTACAAATCAGGTCTCAACCAGTACAAAAAGACTGAGATCGAGGTACCTGGGTGGCTCAGTCAGTTAAGCATCTGCCTTTGGCTCAGGTCATGATCACAAGATCCTGGGATTGAGCCCTACATCAGGTTCCCTGCTCAGCAGAGAGTCTGCTTCTTCCTCACTCTCTCTGCCCCTCACCCAGCTTGTGCACACACACTCTCTCTAAAATAAATAAATAAAATCTTTAAAAACATCCCCCAAACTGAGACCATACCATGCATATTTTCAGAACAAAATGAGATGAAACTTGAAGTCAACCACAAGAAGAAATTTGGAAGGACCACAAATACATGGAGGTTAGAGAACATCCTACTATAGAGTGAATGGGTCAACCAGGAAATTAATGAAAAATTTTTAAAGATTTTATTTATTTATTCATGAGAGACACACAGAGAGAGGCAGAGACATAGGCAGAAGGAGAAACAGGCTCCCTGCAGGGAGCCTGACATGGGACTCAATCCTGGGGCCCTAGGATCACACCCTGAACTGAAGGCAGATGCTCAACCACTGAGCCATCCAGGTGTCCCATTAATGAAGAATTTTAGAAATACATGGAAACAAGTGAAAATGAAATACAACAGTTGAAAACCTTTGGGATGCAGCAAAGGCAGTCCTAAAATGGAAGTAGATAGCAATACAAGAAATAAGAAAGGTCTCAAACTTATAACCTAAACTAACACCTAAAGGAGCTAGAAAAAGAACAGGAAATAAACTCTAATTCCAGCAGAAGAAGGGAAATAATAAAGATTACAAAAAAATCAGTGATATAGAAATAAAAAATAAACAGTAGAACATGGGGGATCCCTGGGTGGCGCAGCGGTTTGGCGCCTGCCTTTGGCCCAGGGCGCGATCCTGGAGACCCGGGATCGAATCCCACATTAGGCTCCCGATGCATGGAGCCTGCTTCTCCCTCTGCCTGTGTCTCTGCCTCTCTCTCTCTCTGTGACTATCATAAATAAATAAATAAAAATTAAAAAAAATAAAAAAAATAAACAGTAGAACATAGCAACAAAACTAGGAGCTGGTTATTTGAAAGAATTAATAAGATCAATAAACTCCTAGTCAGACTTAAAAAAGAGAAAGGACCCGAGTAAATAAAATCATGAATGAAAGAAGAGAGATCATAACCAGTACCAAAGAAATACAATCATAAGAGAATATTACAAAAAAATCATGTGGCAACAAATGGGACAATCTGGAAGAAATGAATAAATCCCTAGAAACATATAAACTACCAAAAGTGAAATTGGAAAAAATAGAAAATCTGAACAGACCCATAACCAGCATAGAAATTTAAGCAGTAATAAAAAATCTCCCAACAAACAAGAGTCCAGGGCCAGATGATTTCACAGCAGATTTCTACCAAATACTCAAAAAAGAGTTAATACCAATTCTTCTCAAACTATTCTGAAAAGTAGAAAATAAAGGAAAACTTCCAAAGTCATTCTATGATCAGCATATAATGACCAGCATTACCTTGATCATAAAACCAGACAAAGACTCCACTAAAAAGGAATATTACAGACCAAAAGCCCTGATAAAGATGGATGGAAAAATTCTCAACAAAATATTAGCTAATAGGATCCAATCGTACATTAAAAGGATTATTCACCATGAACAAGTGGAATTTATTCCTGGGGTGCGGGGATGGTTCAATATTTGCAAATCAGTGTGATACACCACATTAATAAAAGAAAGAATAAGAACTATATCATTCTCTTAATAGATACCGAAAAATCATTTGACAAAGTACACCATCCATTCATGATAAAACCCATCAACAAAGTAGAGATAAAGGAACGTACTTCAACATCATAAATACCATATATGAAAGGCCTACAGCCAATATCATTCTCAAATGGGAAAAACTGAGAGCTTTTCCCCTAAGGTCAGGAACAAGACTGGGATGTCCACTCTCACCATTGTTATTTAACACAGTACTGCAAATCTTAGCCTCAGCTTTCAGACAACAAAACAGAAATAAAAGGCATCCAAATTGGCAAGGAAGAAGTGAAAATTTCACTCTTTGCAGACAATATGATACCGTATGTAGAAAATTCTCCTCCAAAATTGCTAGAATACGGAAATTCAGCAAAATTTAAGGATATAAAAACAATGCATGGAAGCCAGTTGCGTTTCTTTTTTTTTTTTAAGATTTTATGTTTTTATTCATTAGAGAAAAAGACAGAGAGAGAGAGAGAGATAGGCAGAAGGAGAATCAGGCTCTCTGTGAGAAGCCTGATTTGGGACTTGATCCTGGAACCTCAGGATCACGCCCTGAGCTGAAGGCAGATGCTCAACCATTTAGCCACCCAGGCATCCCATCAGTTGCATTTCTATATGCTAACAATGAGACTAAAGAAAGAGAATTCAAGGAATCAGTCCCATTCACAATTGCATCAAAAACCATAAGATACCGAGGAATAAGCCTAACCAAAGAGGTAAAGGATCTGTACTATAGAATACTTGTGAAAGAAATTGAGGAAGACGAAAAGAAATGGAAAAACATTCTATGCTCATGGATTGGAAGAACAAATATTGTTAAAATGTCTATGCCACCCAAAGCAATCTACACATTCAAAGCAATCCTTATTAAAATACCAAAAGAATTTTTTAAGGAACTGGAACAAATAATCCTAAAATTTGTATGGAACCAGAAAAGACCCTGGATAGCCAAAATAATGTTGAAAAAGAAAATCAAAGCTGGAGGCATCACAATTCTGGACTTCAAGCTGTATTACAAAGCTGTAATCATCAAGGTAGTATGATACTGGCACAAAAACAAACACACAGATCAATGGAACAGAATAGGAAACCCAGAAATAGACCCTAAATTCTATGGTCAACTAATCTTCAACAAAGCAGGAAAGAAAATCTAATGGAAAAAAAAGTCTCTTCAACCAATGATGTTGGTAAAGTTGGAAAGCCAAATGCAAAAGAATCATACTGGACCACTTTGTTACACAATAGACAAACTCAAAATAGATGAAAGACCTAAATATGACACAGGAATCCACTCAAACCTTAGAGGAGAACACAGTCAGAAACCTCTTGGCCTTGGCTGCAGCAATTTCTTGATAGACGTGTCTAGGCAAGGGAAACAAAAGCAAAAATGAACTATTAGAACCTCATCAAGAGAGAAAGCTTTTGCACAACAAAGGAAACGGTCAACAAAACTAAAAGGCAACCTACAGAATGGGAGAAGCCATTTGCAAATGACTAATCAGATAAAGGGTTAGTATCCAAAATCCATAAAGAACCTACCAAACCTAACACCACAAAACCAAAACATCCATTAAAGAAATGGGAATAAAGCATGAATAGACATTTCTC